GGGGTAGCCGCTGCCGCCCTCCGTGCTGCCCGTCCAGCCCCCCGTCCCGCAGCCCTCCTCCCGCACCGGCTCCTCTGGTGTGACTTTCCCATGCCCTCATGGTCTCTGTGCTTTCCCAAGTCTCTGTCCCAAACCTCACTGTCCTGTTCAGGCCTCACCTCTGTCGCCCTTTCCGACCTCCCAGCCCCTCCCACTCGGTAAAAGGTGCCTCCACGTGTCCTCCCTTCCTCCCTCCTTCCGCTCCACCCACTCCCTACCCCCGGGGTGGGAGCGAGGCGGGCCGGGAGCCCAGAAGAGGAGCGAGGGCGGGAGCAGCAGGCGGGGCCCCTTTGACCCAGAGCAGGCTGGAGGAAGGGCACTGGATCTTGTCCCCAGGACACCCCCCCAGGACAGACTGGGGGACGGGGAACGGAGGGGGATGGTTGACAAGACGGTCGGGGGCCTGGCAGTGGCCTCCTTGGTCTGGCTCTCCTGCGCGACCCAGGAAGGCATGAGATGGACAGAGATGCCGGCCTGTGGGAAGTGCATCGGAGACGACAGTTCACCAGCATCTGCAGAGTAATAAAGTCACTGATGAGGCGTGCAGACCCAGAGTCCCAGGTTCTGTTGTAGACGGCCACCCTCCTGAGCTGAGCGCCTCTGGGAGGGGCCCTGCGGGTCCCACCTCGGACCCTCCCAGCTTGCAGGAGGCCCTGGGAGTCTGGGCTCAGCCCTGGGGCACCAGCTCCCTGACCTTGAACCTAGAGATGAGGAACCCCCTTTAGGTGATGGGAGATGAGCCTTCACGAGCGTCTACACGGCACAGGAAGTGCTCACCCGTCGCCTCATGGAATCCACCTGGCGGCCCCAGGAGCAAGTCCCCCAACTTGCGTCTTATAGAGCCTGGAAGGAGGCTCCAAGAAGGGATCCAACTTAGCGCCAAACAGGCTCAGGTTCGAATCTCCACCCTACCGTTTCCTGGCTGCATAATCTAAGGTCACACCCCTCTCTGAGCTTCAGTTCCCACATTTGTAAATAATAGTGGTACCCACGTCCCTTGCTAGGAGTATTACTTGGGCAGGTCACCCCATTTCATGTGGGTCCCCAGATGTCAGTATCAGCAGGTCCCTTGGGTGGCCCATTTTGCCAAGAGGAATCCAGTCTCCTGCTGGGGGTGGGGTTGGAGCCTGGCGGCAATGGGTCTGGGACCCCCGGTGGGGGAGGTGGGGGCACCAGGGGTGATGCACTGCTGAGTGCAGACCTTGGCCAGCCCCCTTTCCAGGGTGCCATCCCACCCCTCGTCCTCAGTTCAGCAGTGTTGGGGTCCAGGCCTGGTTTCTTCTCTCCAGGGAGACACTGGTGCGTCTGACCAGTAAAACCCAGGTAGCAGGCCATGCCCTAGCTGCAAGGGAGTCTGGGAAAGCAACTAGCTGGACTGGCCTCTGTAGCCAGAGGCTGGCCCCACCTTCCAAGACCCATAAGGCGAGAAAGTGCCCAAACAGCTGAGGGAGGCTTGGGTGCCAGGCAGTCTCAGGGAAGGACAAGTGACCGCCAGGGTGCCGAGGCAAGCCCCTAGGCCTCAGTGCCCACCTTGTGAAACAGCTAATCATGCTCCTGCTGGGAAGGGCCCGCTGTTGGAAATTAAGTGAGAGAATGAGCATGAACGCTTAGCACTGCCCAGCCCAGCATGCACACCCACAGGCGCCTTTTGTCACAGTGTCCTTTCACACGAGAGGTCCATGCCCACTGGGTGGGGTGCCACACCCACTGTCTAACAGAGGAAACTATCTTGGAGCGGCCACATCATCTGCTGTAGAACCTCAAGAGGAACACATAGGGTGGGGTGGGGCAAGGCTGGGGTCTGAGAATGGCGTTCTGATAATTACAGCAAAAACTAGTGCATACAGTGGGCCAGATCCTTTCAAGTAATTAAATCCACCAACTCATTTAATCGTCATAACCCAGCGGGGTGGCACTGTTGTTATCCCCATCACACAGACCAGGAAACTGAGGCACAGAAAAGGCAAGTGGCTGGGCCATGGTCCCAGATCTGGACCCGGCGGTCAGGCCCCAGCGCCCTGGTGCCTGCTCATCACACAGTGATATTTCCTCCGGCTCCCACCATTGCTCAGGGCTCCTTGCCTCTGCCTCCAGCACAACTGCTGCTGGGCTGTTGAGGCTCTGTCCCTTCTCTCCTGACAAGCTTCCCCAGACCCTGGTTTCCCTCTGGGGAGCCCCCTCCAACACACACACACACCGCGTCCATCAGTGTGGACTGTCCGTCAGGTGTCTCACCCCCTCTTCACTGTTGTGCTGCTCACTCAGGATGCGAAGTTGGTCGTGGTTAGGGTTGGAGGGGCTAAGAAAGAACTCGTTCTTGTTCGGAGTCTACTAAAAAGATGCAGAGACCAGACAGTCCCCACCGCACTCACAGGTCCACTCTGCCTGCCAGAGGGAGCAGTGGTCTGACTCTGGCCTCCACATCTGGTGACGGGCCATGCCGACCTCCAGGACTTGGGGTGGGGGGTGGTCCCCCAAACAGGAAGGAGATGCTGCTGGGAGGCTAAAACAAAACAAACAAACATCCTCCACATGGGGGATGCGAGCTTTGTGCCTTGCTGGTGGGGGTGCAGACTGATGGAGACAGATCCCTCTGGCAGCCCCGTCCAAATACGCAAGCATACCTCTCACAGACCAGTGAGCACACTCCCCCGACCCCACCGGGCGGACTCTCCTGCACGACCACAGAAAGACGGGTGTAGTGCTGTTCATCACAGCGTTGCTCGAAAATTGTAGCAACACAAATGTCCATGCCTGGGAGGGGAAGAGGAGGTGCACCTACGTTGTTAAGGAAAAGTTGTCCAAAATGTGGAAATAAGGCCAAAATTCCAACTGTGCAACTTTATAAAATCACGCTAGAGCATTTTTTAAGAGAAATCTTGCCTGGAGGTCATCTAACTCCTTGAAAATGGAGCTGCGTTGGCTGACAGTAGTTTGGAGACCAGCTGGTTTACCAGTCCTGCCAGGTTAGAAGTCAACTTGTGCAGAGCTGGTGGGGCGTGGGGACTGCTGTCACTCTGTCTGGTAGACAGGATAACCCCGGGGGGTAAGGTTTTTTGTCCTGTAGGACATGAACCAGTTTTGACTCAGCCGCCTCCCTCCAGAATCCCTTCCCGCTGACGCTACAGTCCTGGCCCTTCCAGTCCTCTTCCGAACGCACTCTGACGTGCTGGTCTGTCAGAAATGGGCTGAATAAAACATCAGCCCAGGCTTGCTGCCTGTTTGTGTGAGAATTGCTTTTAAAAATTCAGTAATCATGGGGGCTGGCCCGGTGGCGTAGTGGTTAAGTTCATGTGCTCTGCTTTGGTGGCCTGGGGCTCATGGGTTCCGAGCCCGGGCGCGGACCTACGCACCGCTCATCAAGCCATGCTGTGGCAGGCATCCCACATAAAATGGAGGAAGATGGGCACAGATGTTAGCTCAGAGCTAATCTTCCTCAGCAAAAAGAGGACTAACAATAGATGTTAGCCCAGAACCAGTCTTCCTCACCAAAAAAAAAAATCAGTAATTGTGATTTTACTGAATACTACCAGAAGTCAGAGACAATGAACTAAGAGGTATACACAGCGACATGACTTCATCCTCAAAAACCTGTGCTGAGTGGAAGAAAAAGAAAAGAATCATAAGTGAGATCTAGGGCGCCACCCCTCCTGGTGTGGTGGCATCCCACGTACAAAATAGAGGAAGATTGGCACAGATGTCAGCTCAGGGCAAGTCTTCCTCACACAAAAAAAGCCCAAAACATAAAAGTGGTAAAAAATGAAAGGATGCGTATCAAATACGTTAGTGATTGCCCGTGAGGGAGGCGAAGGGGACTGGGCGATGATCAAAGGGAAGAATATAATAAATTTAAAAAGAGAAGGGCTCTGCACAGACCAACGGTGGTGAGCAAACTTCTGCATCTGAAGAGAAAAATAGGCAAAACTGACAACTTGCCCCACAATTACCACTGTCACGAGGCTGGGTGACATGGGCGCCCCCCGTGACTCAGGCCACCACATCTACAGTCCTTTTATTGACCAACCGACACTGCAGACCAGAAAGCCTGGATTGTGGTTTTGGGGCTGGGCCTCGGCTCCTGCTTTCTTTAGTGATGACAGGCGAGACTGTTGACCATAGACGTCCTTGTGGGAACAGGCAGGTGGCTCCAAATTGGGCCTAGGTGATGTTTTCCCTCCTGCTTCATCTCCTTGGGGTCCTGGTGCAGGGGGCTCTGCAAAGACCCAGTGGAGGTAAGTTGACTTTTCCTTAGTCTCCCCTCGGGCTGATGCACCCCACTCCACTTACCCTGCCCGTTGTCCCAGTTAACGGGGGTCGACACACCAGATCCAAATCTCAACCCTGATCCTTACTTGTTGTGTGAGCAGGGGAACGGCAGGAGTGTCCTGGTCCATCTTCAGCGTCTCTCTCGTGGGGCACTGCTCGCTGATTCCCCCAAATCCATGCTGATTCCACCTCCAGAATATATGCTGCATCCACGCCCTTCTCCGTCTCCATCACCCCTGCTCTAGGTCAAGCCATATGCGTTCACATTCCCCTCTTGCTTAAGACGTATTTCATGGCTTCCGGTTGCTCCTACGAGTGATAAGATAGAGCGTGAGGAAGAGACGAGGAAAGAGATGGGAGTTAGTGAGTTATCACTCAGCAAAAGTCAACCTTGTCTGAAACAAAGTCTACATTCTCTAGCAAACCAGTCGGCGTTTTCACAAGGCAGTGGCAGCGTTCCGAGAGTGAGCAAGACGGAGGGAGCAGAGGTGCACGAGGCCTCCTGGGGCGCAGGATTGCAGCCAGCACGACTCACTCCCACCAGGTCTTATGGGCCAAACCAAGCTGCACTGCTGGCCCACATCAGGAAGTCAGGAAGGAGACCCGCCTCTTGATGAGCAGGTTGCAGAGTCTCCTTGCACAGAGCCCGGATGTGGGAAACGGTGGAGAATTGGGGCCAGGAGCACAATCACTCTCCCAAACTCTTCATTTATTCAACAGTCTTCAATGAGCACGTGCTGTGCCCAGGTCTGTGTCAGGGGCCCGTGGAAGAAGCAGTCAACCAAAACGAAGTCGCTGTCCAGCTGAGCTTACATCCTCATGGTCCAGGGCAAGAGGAGGAAGACAGAAAACAAATAGATGCATAAATGAGGGTGCAGATGGTGACACACGTGGTC